CCAGACACGTCCTTCAGAGCTGACTCCAGAATGTCATCGATGACAAACTTAAAGAGAAACGAGGGGATTGGACAACTCTGTCTAACCTCATTGTTGGTTGAGAACAGTAGTGATAGCTGGTTGCATACCCTCACCCTACCTGAGGTATGTCTATGTAGGGCTTTCAGGATGCTGACAAACTCCTCAGGTGGCCCTCTTTCAAACAGAAGGTTCAGACAACAGTTCTGTCCAACTGCGATAACGACTAAGATGAAAATATGGATTATGATAGCATTCGAAATGCACATTCTGTTTGTTCTCCTGTCTAGATTTAAATAACTTTCGCCTCTATCATACATAGTGCTGGCATGTCAATTTCTTGTTGATTACAATCAGTTTCTAGTCTTGAAATTCGAATATCCTATCGTAAGGCCTGTATATATTTGTTATAGGAGACTTTCACACAACCTTTAGCTTCATAGTTGAATTAAAAATTAGGCGAATGGATTAACGACAAGAGTTGCACATGAGGCCCAGGGAGGATGCGAGTAGATATGTCTGGTTGCAAATATATCTTACTACAGAGTGCCAATAAGCAGGAGACTTAAGTCCAATGTTTCCGACCGCCTGCCACCAACCAAACAGAATCTATTTAGGGTGTATTGCTACGGCGAGACACAAGCCTTGGTGACTATATTGTAAAAGAACTGATAGAATTTATGAATAATCCCCATCCAAACGTTAATAAAAACAACAGAAGTTCAGAAAAGTTGTTGCTGCTATATTTTGACGGAACTAGAATACACGTATATCTTAGTACTTCTTCGCGTTTATATTTGTGTCCTAACGTTGTGATTACTCGACATCCACAACGTAATTCAAAAGGCACTTGCGAAGGAATACGACAGTGTATTATTGCAGCAATCAAAATTCAAAAATCGAGCGAGTACAAAAAGTATCAATTGTTAACATGCATGACTTAGAGTAATAAACAAATCAAAGTACAATTACACAATGAAAGTATACTGCGATGATGAGTAATAAAACGGGTCACTACAAAGTCACTTTTCGGCGAATTCATTCACTTAGCTGTACAATCGCAGTTATATTTAAGAACACTATCCCACATGGCTGCAAAAAGGTAATAGTGGCTGTATAAGGAGTACGATAATCGAACATCTCGTCAACACTGGTCATTCCATTTCAACAAACGCCTCCTTCAAAGTGAAGAACAAGCTACCAAAGGCAATACGCTTTCGTCTCCTTTGTATTACCGAAGCCTTAGCCATCCAGTTGGAAAAACCAGAGTTATGTATACACAAGAAAATCATCCAGGCACTTCTACTACCATGGTAACAACCGTGTTGACTCCTACTAACTTGATGTTAGTGTGCTTGTTTCTTTTTATAACTCTTTGTAATTTTTAGAACTCTCATATAATTCCATATTTTCCTTTGTTTCTATGTGCGTCCTAACTACAACTCACTCATTAAACTATTCATCTTATTGCGTAACTACAATACACTTATACAACTTCTCTTATGTTGATTACCATTAATAACTATGTTTTTTGACAACGCATCACCACTACCCTCTTACCGATCTTCACCCCCACCCCCTAGTTACAGTTTGATTATTCATCACATTTTTGAAATGTCTTGACAACAATGCACCGAACTAGTTTTTATTCCTATCGGAAAAACCTAATGTACACACATACAAAAATAAGCAAATATAATTGCGATTGGACAGCTAAGTGAATGAATTCGCCTAAAAAGGACTCTTTTCTGAACTACGTTCATTCTTCACAAAAAGGAGGACTAGACGTATGACATTAATTACTCCCTAGTCACCAATCAAAGCACTCATTGCAATCGTACAGAAGACAAATCAAGAATCTAAATAATAGCGCTGTGGTAACGTCTCTGATTGCGGCACTGGATGATCTGGTTGGGAATGCCTTCACATTTGCCTTACTGAAAACAACAACAGTTTCAGAAGAGATACATGGATGATACTTTCATTGTCTCCAAGAGTGAAGAGGATTTGGGAGAAAACCTGGATTTTTCAACGGCTGTCACCCTGTAGTCCAGTTCAAACAAGAGGAGTCCGACTCAGAAATATTTTTTCTGAACTTTCAACTAGCAAGACGTGAACAAAGTGGAGAACTAGAAAGATCCATCTAGGGAAATTCAACACTTAACGGACAGTGCACACTTTCATAGTTGCGTGCCTCTATACACGACACGGAACCCGATGCATTCATTGAGTCACATAATCCACAGCATTTGCAGCCCTGACTCTGCAGAAGAGGAGCTGAGCTCTGGAGAGAAGTCTACTTGAAAGTGGTTATCCCGAACGCTTTGCCACAAAATCCATGAAGTCTAAACACTAAAACCGACCGCACTCTCTCCTTCTAAAAGACTTCTCTACCTAAATCTACAATTCAACAGAGAATCATCGGTAGAAATACTGAGAAACCGCCTGTTCCGCTCACTAAAGAAAACTTTCTTCGTGGCTGAACTCCGACCAAATTTCTCTACAAAACGAATCTGTCTGGTTTCAACATAGAACTTTGCACCGTTGTGCAGCAGTTCGAGTCACCACACTCCATGTAGCACACAAAGCCAGAGAGGAAAGTAAAAAGAAATGCACATTAGACACAGTAAACAGAGATGTGAGGCAAAGAGAATAGTAATAACGAAGAACAATATAGTTTCATTGGAAATTATAAGTCACAAGGAATGGATGCATCTGCACCAGCCATTGAGAACGATTTTGAGCCATAACACCAATTGTTTCCAACCATTGGTTTATACCGTCCCGAGGACCCCAACCAGGAAGTCTACACCTTCCTACGTGGCTTAAACTAACTGTTGTAGATTTCATTGACAGATGAAGTCATGTGCGTCGGTGGCACAGTGGTTAGGACTCTCGCCGACCATGCACATGGTCCGGGGTTCAATCCTCTGCCGACGCACACCCGATATCTATGGTCGGCTTGCAAAATTTGGGCTACCGATATCCATGCTTAAAATTCCATACTTGTACTGAAAATACGGTGTGGAATCAAAAAAAATGTTTTGGTTTGACCACCACTGGCTCTCTCTTTTCCAACCTGAACCTATGTCAGCTAACATTGCCCATCGAGGAAGGCGATGACTAGGCATACGTAGCACATGTCCTAACCTTCTCAGTCGATGTAATTTCACAGTCTCGTCGACCGATTTCCCCTCCTTACCTAGCACTCGACGCCTAACCTAAAATTTGCTCCCCTTATTATACCACTTCACGCGGGAGATAGAACGTAGACACATATGATCGAAGACAGCTAATCTTTACATGTCTTCCGCTCTCAATGGCCAGGTCTCACAGCCATAAAGGAGGACGGAGCGGACTGTTGAGCAGTACACACGCCCTTTGGTCGATAGTCAGATATCACGTGTACGCCAGAGACGGCGTAAACTGGCATATGCGAAACTAGCTTTCTGTATTCGTGCTGAGATTTCGTCGCCGACCAACCCGGCAACTTCCCAAATAAGTAAAGTAGTCAACATACTCTACCATTTCACAAAACGAATGATTCGCACTAATGTGAAAGATAAGCTACCACTGCCAGCATCATCGACGTGTATCCATGAATTAGCCTACTCGTTTGAAGCTAGGTGTGTCGGCCATATTTAACGTTTGCTATCCAAACATATCATGGAACACTTTTGATTTTATAAAGAAGATTAAAGATCCCCCCGTAGCTCTACCTTGAGATATCTGATCGAACTTAGGCACCAAGCTAAACCACAAAATCACTTCAAAGTCATCTACAGCATACGCGAAAGTCTTGTTAAAGAGGTACGAATCAAACTTCTTCAAATTGCAGACGTAATGGCAATTCACATGCTAAATCCCTAACTCAGTCACTAAACCCGCAATGGACACGACCTGTCTTAACACCAGATACGCAACGTTTTGTTTCTAATTGTATTATTTCCTTCCACCCCGTATTAAATTTCTGCCCCTAACTACCACTGCTGTTAACTTGATAATCGTTCAATTTTTCGTTGAATTCTACTTAATCCCGTCAATTTACTTATTTTATTTTAGTTTCTACCTGATAAACATTTTTTATACTACGTAATCTGTAATCTAAAATTTACGATTCTAGTGACATATTTTTGGATTTATTCCTTTTGTCGCTAAGCGAACTTACTATGCATATATGCTATTGTACAGCTTGAAAATGATTTCATTGAAAGATTACCTCCTCGCTCAGTGATATTTTATTGCCTGACTAATGCCATTCATCTAGAAGTCATAACACTATTTGATGTCATTCAAACATTGGTTAAAGTGAAGTCTGAAAAACTGGAGCTTCCTTATAACTCTATGCTTAAAACAAAGCCAAAAGCTTTGTTAACGAATGCCTCAACTAATCGGTTATGAACAGTATTAATTAAAGTGGTGTTATGACGGAAAGTTACCACGGTGAAGGTTTACCTAACTTCATTACAATGCGCCTCCAGACAAAAAACTACAGCCAAATGATCACTTAAATAACATTTACTAGACAAAAACGTGATATGTAATATTTACAAAACTCCAGAAATTTAAGCCACAAGTGAACAAAAAATCTGATTGGTTGTATGAAATCACAAATTCTTAGAAATCTCACGCAAAAAATAAACGACTCAAAAAAATCATCCAATCAGATTATCATATCAGTGCATGCATACACATTATGACTTTAAGGCTAACAACGGAACTTATCCTTCCTAACAAGTTGTATGAAGGAAGGAGGAGCATATTCCATCAGAAACCGACAATATTTGGAGAATCAGTGAAAACGGAGAAAAACTGCAGAGTAGTGAAGAGTGCCGAACTAAGACGAAACAGCTGTCGTCCAGTAATCTACTCGTTTTTCGCAGTTCCCTAGTTGATGTCGGAGTTCGTGAAGAAATCTAAACTGAAGTCAAACAAATCTCAACTAATCAACATTTGAAAACAATTTATGGTTAAAAGTAAATGCAACATCTTCAAAAAAGGAGAAAATGATTCAGTTTATATACACAACAGAAAGGAAATTGAAGAAAATGCTGTGAGTTTCCTTCTCACCATTGGTAATGTAAATTGCATACGGCCATTACAAAAACAAATAGAATGCACGATAAAATCAATAAATTAAGAGGTATAATGCAATGTTTGTAAAATCAGAAATATTTTTGAAAAAGGAAAGAATATAAAACGCTTAGCAAACAAAAATATCACATTACAAAAGAAAATAATTACACAAACAGGAATGGTTTATGAATTGAAAACGAAATTTACAAAAACAAAAAAATAACAATTTACAAGGTCCAGTGATTAGTTTGAAATATTAAAATCCCTGAACATATTTAACAGACCATTTTGTAAATTTTCATTTTGATTTATTTCACGAAGCAGTAACGATTTTTGATCAGGCCTTGTTGATAATGTAGGGGATACCTCCTTTGGCTTTTTATCTGAACAGTGAGGTAGAAGACGTTTATCATATTGAGCAGCTATACTTGGACGAAGCATACGTCCTCTAGGTGTATTTATCAGCAGTTCAAACCTTGAACGACAATGACCACAAACCTATAAAAAAAGATGGACAAAGTGACACGACCATTGGTTGACTAATATATATTTTGGTAAATAACACTAGCACCTGGATTTTTCAACGGCTGCCACCCTGCAGTCCAGTTCAAACAAGAGGAGTCCGACTCAGAAATATTTTTTCTGAACTTTCAACTAGCAAGACGTGAACAAAGTGGAGAACTAGAAAGATTCATCTAGGGAAAGCCGATACTTAACGAACAGTGCACAAATTTTTATAGTTGCGTGCCTCTGTACACGACACGGAACCCGATGCATTCATTGAGCCACATAATCAGCCCTGACTGTGTAGAAGAGGAGCTGAGCTCTGGAAAGAAGTTTACTTGAAAATGGTTGTCCCGAACGCTTGCCACAAAACCCACGAAGTCTAAACGCTTAAACCGATCGCACTCTCTCCTCCTAAAAGACTTCTCTGACTAAATCTACAATTCAACAGAGAATCATCGGTAGAAATACTGAGAAACCGCCTGTCCCGCTCACTGAAGAAAACTTTCTTCGTGGCTGAACTTCGACCAAGTTTCTCTACAAAACGAATCTGTCTGGTTTCAACATAGAACTCTGCACCGATGTGCACCAGTTCGAGTTGCCACACTCCATGTAGCACACAAAGCCAGAGAGGAAAGTAAAAAGAAATGCACAATAGACACAGTAAACAGAGATATGAGGCAAAAAGAGTAGTAATAATGAAGAACAATATAGTTTCATTAGAAATTATGAGTCAGAATGAATGGATGTATCTGCACCATTGAGAACGATTTTGAACCATATCACCTACCCAAGAACCCCAGTCAGGAAGTCGACACCTTCCCACCTGGCTTAATTTAACTGCTGTGGATTTCACCGACTGATGAAGCCATGTTTTTGTTTGACCACCAGTGGCTCTTTTCCAACCTGACCCTATGTCAGCTAACATTGCCTGTCGAGGAAAGTGATGGCTAGGCATAAGTAACACATGTCCTAACTATCTCAATCGGTGTAGCTTCACAACCTCGTCGATTGATTCCCCCTCCTTACCTAGCTACTTGACGCCTAACCTCAATATTGCTCACCCTATTATACCATCTAACACGGGAGATAGAATGCAGACAACTATGATCAAAGACTGTGCGTCGGTGGCATAGCGGTTAGGACGCTCGCCGACCATGCACATGGTCCGGGGTTCGATGCCCGGCCGACCCACTCCTTTACCTCGCTAAGCCGGAAATAATGCTGGTGAAGAGGAAAGGTTAGGCATGAGGCTAGCAACCCCATCCTGTAAAAAATAAACACTGCTACAGAAACTTCAAGCCACTAGCTTGAAGCCCTATGTTCCACTGGGAACGTGAAGGAAAAAAATGATCAAAGACAGCTAGCCTTTTCATGTGTTCCACTCTCAAAGGCCATGTCTCGTTATAGCCATAAGGGAGGACGGAGCGGACTGTTGAGCAGTACACACGCCCTTTGGTCGATAGCCGGATATCACGTCTACGCCAGAGACGGTGTAAACTGGCATATGCGAAACTAGCCCTCTGTTTCCGTGCTGAGATTTCGGCAGAGATCAACCCGTTGGGGCTGATGGTACTTCTCAAGTAAGTGAAGCGGTCAACGTGCTCTACCACTTCACAAAACGAATGATTCGTACTAATGTGAAAGATAAGCTACCACTGCCAGCATTATCGACGTGTATCCATGAATTAGCCTGCTCGTCTGAATCTAGGTGTATCGGCCATATTTAACGTTTGCTATCCAAACATATCATGGAACACTTTTGATTTTATAAGGAAGATTAAAGATCCCCCCGTAGTTCTACCTTGAGATACCTGATCGAACTTAGGCACCAAGCTTAACCACGAAATTACTTCAAAGTCGTCTACAGCATACGCGGAAGTCTTGCTAAAGGGGTACGAATCAAACTTCTTCAAATTGCAGACGTAATGGCAACTCACATGCTAAATGCCTAACTCAGTCACTAAACCCGCAATGGACACGACCTGTCTTAACACCAGATACGCAACGTTTTGTTTCTAATTGTATTATTTTCTTCCACCCCGTATTAAATTTCTGCCCCTTACTACCACTGCCACAAGTAAGCAAACAAATCTGATTGGTTGTATGAAATCATAAATTCTAAGGAGTCTCACGCCACAAAATAAACGATTGAAAAAACCCATCCAATCAGATTATCATATCAGTGCATGCATACACATTATGACTTTAAGGCTAACAACGGAACTTATCCTTCCTAACAAGTTGTATTCCATTAGAAACCGATATCATTTGGAAAATCAGTGAAAACTGAGAAAAACTGCAGAGCAGTGAAGAGTGCCGAACTAAGACGGAACAGCTGTCGTCCAGTAATCTACTCGTTTTTCGCAGTTCCCTAGTTGATGTCGCAGTTCGTGAAGAAATCAAACCTGAAGTCAAACAAATCTCAACTAATCAACATTTGAAAACAATTTATGGTTAAAAGTAAATGCAACATCTTCAAAAAAGGAGAAAATGATTCAGTTTATATACACAACAGAAAGGAAATTGAAGAAAATGCTGTGAGTTTCCTTCTCACCATTGGTAATGTAAATTGCATACGGCCATTACAAAAACAAATAGAATGCACGATAAAATCAATAAATTAAGAGGTATAATGCAATGTTTGTAAAATCAGAAATATTTTTGAAAAAGGAAAGAATATAAAACGCTTAGCAAACAAAAATATCACATTACAAAAGAAAATAATTACACAAACAGGAATAGTTTATGAATTGAAAACGAAATTTACAAAAAATAACAACAATTTACAAGGTCCAGTGATTAGTTTGAAATATTAAAATCCCTGAACATATTTAACAGACCATTTTGTAAATTTTCATTTTGATTTATTTCACGAAGCAGTAACGATTTTTGATCAGGCCTTGTTGATAATGTAGGGGATACCTCCTTTGGCTTTTTATCTGAACAGTGAGGTAGAAGACGTTTATCATATTGAGCAGCTATACTTGGACGAAGCATACGTCCTCTAGGTGTATTTATCAGCAGTTCAAACCTTGAACGACAATGACCACAAACCTATAAAAAAAGATGGACAAAGTGACACGACCATTGGTTGACTAATATATATTTTGGTAAATAACACTAGCACCTGGATTTTTCAACGGCTGCCACCCTGCAGTCCAGTTCAAACAAGAGGAGTCCGACTCAGAAATATTTTTTCTGAACTTTCAACTAGCAAGACGTGAACAAAGTGGAGAACTAGAAAGATTCATCTAGGGAAAGCCGATACTTAACGAACAGTGCACAAATTTTTATAGTTGCGTGCCTCTGTACACGACACGGAACCCGATGCATTCATTGAGCCACATAATCAGCCCTGACTGTGTAGAAGAGGAGCTGAGCTCTGGAAAGAAGTTTACTTGAAAATGGTTGTCCCGAACGCTTGCCACAAAACCCACGAAGTCTAAACGCTTAAACCGATCGCACTCTCTCCTCCTAAAAGACTTCTCTGACTAAATCTACAATTCAACAGAGAATCATCGGTAGAAATACTGAGAAACCGCCTGTCCCGCTCACTGAAGAAAACTTTCTTCGTGGCTGAACTTCGACCAAGTTTCTCTACAAAACGAATCTGTCTGGTTTCAACATAGAACTCTGCACCGATGTGCACCAGTTCGAGTTGCCACACTCCATGTAGCACACAAAGCCAGAGAGGAAAGTAAAAAGAAATGCACAATAGACACAGTAAACAGAGATATGAGGCAAAAAGAGTAGTAATAATGAAGAACAATATAGTTTCATTAGAAATTATGAGTCAGAATGAATGGATGTATCTGCACCATTGAGAACGATTTTGAACCATATCACCTACCCAAGAACCCCAGTCAGGAAGTCGACACCTTCCCACCTGGCTTAATTTAACTGCTGTGGATTTCACCGACTGATGAAGCCATGTTTTTGTTTGACCACCAGTGGCTCTTTTCCAACCTGACCCTATGTCAGCTAACATTGCCTGTCGAGGAAAGTGATGGCTAGGCATAAGTAACACATGTCCTAACTATCTCAATCGGTGTAGCTTCACAACCTCGTCGATTGATTCCCCCTCCTTACCTAGCTACTTGACGCCTAACCTCAATATTGCTCACCCTATTATACCATCTAACACGGGAGATAGAATGCAGACAACTATGATCAAAGACTGTGCGTCGGTGGCATAGCGGTTAGGACGCTCGCCGACCATGCACATGGTCCGGGGTTCGATGCCCGGCCGACCCACTCCTTTACCTCGCTAAGCCGGAAATAATGCTGGTGAAGAGGAAAGGTTAGGCATGAGGCTAGCAACCCCATCCTGTAAAAAATAAACACTGCTACAGAAACTTCAAGCCACTAGCTTGAAGCCCTATGTTCCACTGGGAACGTGAAGGAAAAAAATGATCAAAGACAGCTAGCCTTTTCATGTGTTCCACTCTCAAAGGCCATGTCTCGTTATAGCCATAAGGGAGGACGGAGCGGACTGTTGAGCAGTACACACGCCCTTTGGTCGATAGCCGGATATCACGTCTACGCCAGAGACGGTGTAAACTGGCATATGCGAAACTAGCCCTCTGTTTCCGTGCTGAGATTTCGGCAGAGATCAACCCGTTGGGGCTGATGGTACTTCTCAAGTAAGTGAAGCGGTCAACGTGCTCTACCACTTCACAAAACGAATGATTCGTACTAATGTGAAAGATAAGCTACCACTGCCAGCATTATCGACGTGTATCCATGAATTAGCCTGCTCGTCTGAATCTAGGTGTATCGGCCATATTTAACGTTTGCTATCCAAACATATCATGGAACACTTTTGATTTTATAAGGAAGATTAAAGATCCCCCCGTAGTTCTACCTTGAGATACCTGATCGAACTTAGGCACCAAGCTTAACCACGAAATTACTTCAAAGTCGTCTACAGCATACGCGGAAGTCTTGCTAAAGGGGTACGAATCAAACTTCTTCAAATTGCAGACGTAATG